TGTATAACAATAGTAACCTACTATCAAACTTAGAAGATCCTATCTTCCATTTTGCGCAGGAGACACAATGGCAATTTTGCCACTTTGCTACAAATGCTTAAGTGCTGCAGTAGAGTAGGAGGAAAGGCAACTGAAATGCTCAGGTTGATTTGGTATAACAACCAGCAGAAGGAGCAAAAGCGTTAAGCTTTTTCCACAGAATCTGTTGTGACAGAAGGGTACTGCACATTCACAAAGCATCTTCCCTCTTACTCTTCGCCCCCAAAAATACCAGGAATTTTTTTTTTTTTTTTTGCCTACTTGAACAAATCCATGAAGTACGTCAACAGACATTTGGCAATGTAAGTTCCAGCAATGCGAGGGAAGTTTAACAACGTAGCTGGTAGGAACACGTTCCCTCTCTCCCTCCACGGTTCTGTGAGGAACCTGAAATCTGGTAGACCAACTCTAAAATGTGAGATGATCAAGCAGTATTTAACATATGTACAGTGTTTACACTGTGACATACTTTTGGATTAAGTTGTACATGGAGTTGACATAATAGATGGTATCTGACAATATGGTTATCTAAAAGCCACATGGAGATGTATTTCACACAGTGCCCTGAATCTGTCAGATAACTCCGTAATAATGCTGGCCTCGAGCTTGAATGTGGTTCGAAAGTCAAGAAAGTTGAGGTCATTAGTCTTTCCTCCCCATTCAAAGTGGCAACTCCAGTTGTGGTTGAAATGGCTCCACTGGTGATACAGCTGTACTCATTTAGAAATCCAGTATTTGTAGGCTAAGTTTTTTTTTTTTTTGAGTGAAAAATATTATGTTCAAATCAACCTTACCATTTTCTCTTTTAAATAAAAGCAGGTTTTGCATGTCTTATGTGGCAGTGCCAACCGTAAAATGCTCTTGAAACACTCACTGCGCACTACCAAAACCTTAAGGATTCGTAAGTTTTTCATTCCAATCATTAAAATGCAAGCAGGAATAAAGAAAAAAAATTAATTTATCTTTAAATCCCTTTCAACAGCACAGCCATCCTACTCAGGAGCTGTAGAGAGCTAACTAAGCTCCTTAATTCCCTTCTATTTAACCCCCTCCTGAAGACTGATGTTCTAATAAGATATCAGTACAAGATTCTGTCCTTTGCCACAGAACATTAGAAAAGATTCCACAAAACAGTCCAGGCTAAAACAGACATTTAACTCTTGTACAACTGGTTAACATAATGCAGTTGGGGAGTTTGTATACTTTTCTACAAGAGGCAAGGTACTGAATGACAGGTCTGCCTCCAGGCAGGTCACAAAGATCACAATAACCCACCCAAAGAGAAGGAAACCTAGCTGTCACCCTTGGGACAGCAGAAAGATTCCACAAAACAGTCCAGGCTAAAACAGACATTTAACTCTTGTACAACTGGTTAACATAATGCAGTTGGGGAGTTTGTATACTTTTCTACAAGAGGCAAGGTACTGAATGACAGGTCTGCCTCCAGGCAGGTCACAAAGATCACAATAACCCACCCAAAGAGAAGGAAACCTAGCTGTCACCCTTGGGACAGCAGAAACCCACAT